ATCTCCTGAAAGTTGGAAGTTGGAATAAAACTGTCATCTTAATTGACTTTGACTGGTGAAACCTCAGAGTTCCACGTCTGTCATTAGGGGCCGTAATGCAGTCACTCTTTCTTTCTCAAGTTTCCCACTTTTCTCTTGTCTTGTCTGAAAACTCACCCACACAATTAATCACATCCTAAATGGAAGTCATTAGCATATGAGAATGTGTGACAGCAAACAAAGACTGAGAATAATTACCCTGGTGCTTTAAAACATACTCACATGGAGTAAAAAAAGAAAAAGAAAATGTATATTAAGACGGCACAGCTGCTAAATGATGCAGATGCTGTGAAGCTGAGATGACAATAGTACAAAAACATGATAATTAATTCTTAGCTTCAGCTCGTTATGAAAACGTCTTCCAGAAAGAATGAGTTTGAGTCTCGGTGCAGCAGCAGTCCTGGGTCTGAACAGTGATTCATTCATTGTCATTGACTTTAGCTTCAGTTGATCTTTCTGACAAACCAACCCACCTGTAACAGGAAGTGGCAACAACAATGGAGTACAGCGTGAAATAGTTGTTAGAGACAGGAAAAAACATGTGGCACTACAGAAAGAAGCTAGAAAAGTTTGACAGTGAATTTATTTACTTAAGTAAAATTTAAATTTAAGTATTTGTCTGTAAAAATAAAAAAATATATATATGTATTAAGCTTTACCTTAAAATTGATGAGGGTAAATAATTGTTTTCATTACCTCAAAATAACTTTTGTTATCTAAATTCATCATTTTTTGTTTAATTAATAAATATTATAATTATTATACTATTTAAATTTATTTTTTCAGCACAATCACTTTCACTGACAGTATTTGTTATCTTGTTATACCTCAGTGTTTTCTTATACTCAGTGTGGATGAGTCCATCAGTCACAGGCGAAAGTTACATAAAAAAAATCATTATCTTTTAAGTAAACGTGTGTCAAAGATATGGCCCGGGGGCCAATCCTGGCCTTAATGTGTGCATGGTTGTCTACACCAGTGTTTACTGGGTGGGTTTGATGCTGGGTGTCACATTTTGTAAATGTAATTCACAGTTCTAGCTCTATAGAACCTGTTGTTGTTGTTGTTGTTGTTGTTGTTGTTGTTGTTGTGTAGACCAAACCTAACAAATAGTAATCCCTGGGTTGAGGCAGCTAAACAGTCCCAGTATTTCGTTTTATTCCCTGTACTGAAAACGCAGCATGAAGTACCATGTATCCAGCGTTCCTAGTTCCTGGAACCACTTCCTGTGGTGGAAATGAGGCTGATGTCATCAGTGCTAATTGTACAAGCTCCGTGTGTGTAGGCGGATCATGAGAAAAATCAGTGGACACGACCATGAAGGAAACATCAGTCCTGGCCAAAACACTTCAACGACGTTTCAGTGAAGATCACGAGTTCAAAAAAAAAAAAGTATTTTTGTGAACCATGAACTTTTCCCCGTTCTTCCTAAATCGAACCCTACTGGCCCTTTAAGATGTCACATCCTGTCGGCTCAGGTCCCTCTCACATCCCATCAGGCCTCGGGGCAGACACCTCGGTACATACAGACTGCAGGTGTAGTACAGTAATGTGTGGACTGATTGATACCTACCTGCTTCTTCTGCCTGGTTGCACATCAGACTTCAGGAACAGGTTCTCCTCCGTGTCTCAGGTCTGATTTGACAGCAGGGACACAGAGGGAATAAGAGCAGAGCTCAGCTGAGCAGAGAGAGCGTGGAGGAGACAGGGCTGTGTTTTTCACCTGAGGCAGGAGGAGAGAGAGGTGAGGAGCTGCGCACACACAACAGGCTCCATTGTCTCGGCCTCTGAAGTGAATACATCTGGCTGGGATGATGGAGGCGGTGCTCAACCTGAGGCTGCTCTCACTGTGGACTTCATTGTTTTTTTGTTTTTTTCCAACTGTATTTAACATTCAACATTATCATATTGGCACCACAGTAGGTAAATAAAGCAGTCGGAGTGTTTGTTCAGACCTGAGGTTAGTTTGAACATTTTAATTTTTGTTTATTTTTTTAGTTTTTACTTAGTCTAATTGTATCGATGATCATTTGAAATTAATCTTATTAATTTTTAGAATTTTTATTATATGGATTTTTTTGCATAGGTTTTTTCTTACTGCCCCCTATGGTCCGAAAGGGGAAATTAACTAATGGTTGTCAGCCTGGTTCAGGTTTAATACCTTTTGTACAGAAACTCAGACTTGATTCTTGTATAAATGGTAGCGAAGTGAAGGAGTCGCTGAGCTTTAATAAAAAGTTTAGTCACGACAATCAAAACACATTTCTGACCTTGTAATGAGCAGCAAAAAATATGACCCTGAATTTCCTCACTTTCCATCACGTCATAGTTTCCCTCTGAACGACTTTACCTCCTTAAGGGTCAACAAACCAAACTAAGGTGTTAAACAGTAGCTGTAAAGACTCACAGAGCTGATCTACTGGGGTGTTCATCTACAACCATCTCCAGGGTTTACAGGAAATGGCCTCAGAAAAGGAAAACATCCAGTTAGTGTCAGTCCTCTGGGCACAAACACCTTGTTAGCGCTGGAGGTCAGAGGAGAATGGCCAGAGTGCTTACAGCTAATGGGACGACGGTGGACTGAGGCTGAGCTCTACACACTCACTGTTCCACAAATCCTCGGCTGCTCTTCAAAAGTCTTCATTTCTTCATTGCAAAACTTTGACGAAAGCGCTCATAATTCAGCGTTAACTAATTATTCCTTTTTATGTTCACACTGTAAATCCCCCACTGCTACTTATGTTCACAAAAGAGTCGCTTTTTATATGAAGATTATAAAAGAAATCCATTCGTTCTCTTATTTTTAGGACAATAGGAAGTATTTGTTGGTTTGTTACGGTGAAGTAATCCTCCAGGCCAAAGAAATAAACAGTAAAAAAGAAAATAAAGCAGCACTTCAGATGCGCTGTGGTAAAAGTGTCTGCAGCGTCCACATCAACATCAACCTCTGGGTCCAACAGAGACCACGGCCCTGAAGAACAATACCAATTAAGGAGTGCAGTTGTTATTCTTTGAACGTCCAGTAATGAGACGGCGGGCGATGCCACACAAGCAGCCTGTGTTGTGGCCACAGAGATGGATGCTGCTTGTTGTGTGTGTGTGTGTGTGCGCAAACATGGGGGCGAGGACCGTCGTCTCTTTTATATCATGCACTCAAAAATACGCTCGTCTTTGTTATGGATACAAAAACACGCCGGACCGGGGTGAGACCGGTGCTGTGTGATATCCATGTGATGATGCCCTCCAGTGGTGTCGTCGTCTCCTCATCCTCCCTCATTTACTGTAATTCATTAGACTCACATGCAAAATATGACACCGAGTGCTCTCTGCCCGTCCACAGTGACCCCCATTATTCAGCCCTCAGGACGGCTCGCGGTGATCTCATGTGACGTGTGGTTTTACTGAGAGGAATACTAACGACATGGAAATATGGAAAATACACTCACATTAGACACGGAATCCTTTCACACAGTCATTATTAAAGGGTTCATTCAGTGATTTTATTCAACCTTGATTTGGAGGCTCTTAATATTTAATCTTAATACTGTAACGTCTCAAGACACGACAATAGAGTTGAAGTTGACAAACGTATTTGCTTTATGCTAATTCATCGTTATAACAACAGTTTAAAACCAGGACAAATCTGGTCAAGGGCAATACTCAGAGTAACCTCCGGGGGCATTTCGTAGTGAATTTAGTTTTTTGTGTTTTTTATGTTTTGTTCTAGTACTCCTCCCATCGTTGTATCTATCAGGACAACCATGTGGCAGTGGTTCAAAGCTAAATTTGACAGTTTGTTTGTTTTATCCACTACATCCATTGGCTCTTCACAATCCCCTAGTGTACGTGGTGGGAATAGTCGCAAATCTCAGGAGATCAAATCATTTAAAAAGAAAAAAAAATACAAGTGAAGTTGAAAGTACAATAATTTATCCAATAATTCCACCGTCCATGAACTGGTTGTTGCTGTGCACACTTTCATCAACGTTGCTGTTATCCAGCAACATAACTTATACAGTTATGTTGTATCATATTGATGCATAATGACATCTCTGCACACTTTGATCAACGTTGCTGTTATCCAGCAACGTTATATGTTGTATCATATTGATGCATAATGATTAATCTCCTAATTAATTGATGATGGCGATTGATTTTGATCATGATTAGCCTCAATTAATCGTTATTAATAATGATTCATTGAAACCAGACGTGATGCAGAAATGGAGGTCGGGTTTGTATCCAGTCATTTCTCTACAGTCAACACCATCCTTCTCTCCTACACCCACGCCTCCTTCTCCTCGCCGCCATTAATCTGTCCTCCTCCTGTTTTGATGGCGTCTCACTTCTGCCACTTTCAGACGGCACTAAAACGTGCACACAGAGAACCAAACCACGACTTGAGTGGCGGTGTGGCGGAGTTTGCGCTCAGCGGCTCTCGGGGACGGTGCAGATGGCGGCGTTATCTGAAGTGATTTGTTTGTAAAACCACTTGTGTAAACTCCCCGGCCTCGTACAGCTGCCGCTCTCATCCTTCAGTATGTCATGAAGGAGACGGACACAGACGCCCCAACACTCTGCCTTTTGTGAAAATTGTGGCCTTGAGCTTTTAAGCCTGTGGAGGAAAACAGAAGTCTGGTGATCGAATGATTTCTTCCACAGCGTTCTGGCACGGGCGGCCGTTTGTTTGTTTGTATGCTGGGATTTAGCTTCTTTTTTTTTTAATGTTTTGAATGAAATGGAGTCGACTGTATTTTAACCTTGTTACAGTGGAGTAACTGGTATTTTCTTCAGCAAAATCAGAAACAAGAAGAAAATGATCTGTTGCTACAAAGTCACACACCGTCAGAAAAGTTCGAACATCCAGTGTGACATTTATCACTAAAATGTCACCCTGACAAATGGCTGCTGTGGATATTGTTGAAATGTCTCATCTCCACATGTCTTCTGTGTGTCCTCAGCAGGGACAGCGTGGGCGAGGTGTCTCCATTCAAACCCATCATGCCCTTCTCTCTGGCGTTGATTCAGGAAGTGTGTGTGTGATCGTCCCCTGGTCCCCTCTGCTGGGATGAACATGCCACTGCACCAGATCTCTGTCATTCCCCGGGACGTCACCTCTTCACGGGTGTCCGGCAGCGGGAAAGCTAAGGACAAGGACAAGCAGGTGAGTGAGCGGGTTTATCGACACCGCCGTACACGCTCTACGGTCATGTGATCAGGCTGCAATATCAATGTGCCGTAATGTGATGAGCAGCACAGGTGAAGCAGTGCAGCGCTTCTACAATGGCCTCGAGCCACATGTTGAGCCTCTACGTTCACTGTAAAGAGAGAGTGTTTCAGTGGAAGCCTCCGCTGTTACCATCACAAAAAAGTTCTCTGGAACGTATCCTCTGTTTTTTGCAATTTATTTATATTTATTATTTTTTCAAATAAATTCCTCATTTCATTTATAGCTTTAAGTTTAAGTTTAGTTTAATGTATTTTATTTGTCAAGCTCATACTTAACCTTTTTTTTTTTTTTCGTTTGACAAATGTAGTCTACAGTTGAAGAAAATGTTTTTTCCAAAGGTTAATCTTTGCATTATTTGCGACTTATCGTTAAAGTGGAGTCGTGTAAGTGCATGACATGTTTAACAATAACAGGCTTTTGGGAGCAACTCCATAACTTTGCTAATACGTTTCTTTTTGTATTAGAAAGTTTAAAAAAAAAACCCATCACAATAAGATAAACAGCACAGTCTTCTGAATATAGTCAGTCTTGGTGGAAATGTCAACAGCCTCAACAGAATCACTGCACTGTTTGTTTGTTGTTTTTTAAAATCGAATTATTGAACAGAGTGGAATTGTGAAAGTTTTTTTTTTTCTCTGCCGCCGTGCAGCTATTCATCTGTGAACAATCAGAAAGTAATTTTTTTAATGCCACTGGTGTCAGTTGTGCACAGTTGAGTATCAGAATCTGCATCAAGATGTTTCTCTAGTTTGGTTGGTTGAACGTCTGGTCTGCGCCGCCACCACCCGCTCAGTCACACCATCCTGAACCAAACACAGACCCCGCCCCCCTGACGAGACTCTGATCTGGACCGCAGGCCGGCCAGTCAGACACAGCTTTGTAACGTGTGCAGAATGAGACCACGGACTTTTTTAACAACACGTGTGAGACACTGGGACGTGATGTGTCTTCACTCACTCTCTGCAGCCTGTGAAGTTTCTTCTCTCAGATCTTTTTTTCGGTCAAATGATCTGATTCTTATCTTTGAACATGTTCCGCCAGGTTTGCTCTAACGCTCGTCTTCTTTGGAATAAATTGGGCCAATATAGAAAATGAAACATCGTGCTGTGAGATAGATAATCCAACGAGGAATTATAAATGTTTCAGCCTGTAGGAGACGGTGTAATGAGGTATTTTATCTTTTCCTTGTAAAAACACACACACTGAGAACTTCAAATATACACAAAGCATTCTGAGCCCCACACCTCCACCAACCTTGACTACAGCAGATATATGCCCTAGTCCTCATCCTTAGTCTAATCCAGTGGTTCTCAATTTAGTTTGTGCCATGCCCCCCCCCCTTTGAGAGAAATGTAAAATCACATGTATAATTTTTATCTGTACAAACCACTGTTTGAGTTGCTGCCACCTAGTGACTGGAGGCTTGTTATCATTCAAGTATTACAGCAGTGGTACACTGATGTGTGCCATATTCCATTGGAAGCCCCTCACGCCCCCCGGCACTTCACCGTACCCCCGCCCCCCGGGGCACCTGCCGTACTTTTTGAGAAGTACTGCTCTAATCTGAGATGTTTTCCAATCCTAATTCCAAACTGAATCACTCACTCTGCATCAGGTCCCCAAAAGGACAAAGTATCAACACAACAGTATAGTAAAAGTATTTCTCCACAACATGTCCTCACATGTATAGCTATGCCAGGAATACACACACACACACACACACACCTGCTGACTGTGATGACTCAGTGTGACGTTCACATTTCCTCAAACGGCCGTTTGAACATGACTGGACGGTTTTTAAATCCAGTTTCACGGGTTGTCTTTGTCAGCTGGGTGACTGACGTGACACTTTGACCTTTGCTGTCGTTGATCTGCTGGTCCAGGATGTGACCTCTGACTTCTTTAAGGTCAGCTTCACTAAGTGTTTTCCCGTGTCTTTGTTGGACTGAACCCGCTCCTCTGTCCGACCCTCAGCTGGGCGACAACAACGGTTACTTTGAATTCTGATCAGCTCCAGGGTCCAGGATTTAACTCTGCGTGTGTGTGTGCGTGTGTGTGTGTGCGTGTTTCCAAAGCCTGGGCCAATTTGGCCCGTTCGATAACACAACCACTCTTTTACCACCCCAGGAAAAAAAAAACAAGTGAATTTTCCTCTACTTAGGATTCAGAGTAAGTCAGCTGATTCTTCACAGAGCAACACGTCCTTTGACTGTTGCCGGCCCCTCGCTGGCCCTTCTCCTCCAGCTACATTTGAGTTCATTTATCGTCTTCAAAATCTAATTTGAATGAGCGCCTGTGTGCGCTGCCTCCGCTCACTGTGGTCCGTAGCTGGAAAAGACCCCGAATGCATGTTTATATAACCAGCGGTTTGAAAAAATATATTTAAAAGAGTTTCACTCTCATCTTTAGGACGAAATGAAACGTAAAAAGTATTTCACTTTGGGATTTCACATTCTGTATTGAGGTCAGATCTGTTCTGACTCTGTGGAATTTAATAAGACATGTGGCGGGTTGATTGTGCTGGAGTTGCCAAAAAAACAGGAACAAAAAGAGAAGACTAGTTTGTTTAATATTTGAAAAAAAAAAACACACGTTTTCAACCTTATCTCCGGTAGAACTGCAGTAACTGCAGTTTGTATCATAAAGACATCTGTCCGGGGTTTGTTTTCTTTCTCTTTGGACCAGAAAATGTAAGAAAACATTTTAGTCCAATTATTTCCAAACCTCAAAATGAACATTCTGTAGACAAACCCAAAATATTCCCTTTACTGGCACCAGTCAGCAACACGACGTTGAAACAGAAAACTTCAGTCTCGTTCAGCCACCGTGCCTGTTGTACAGTATGATCGACTGCTGATATTTACTGTAAATAATTTACATGCAACACTTCACTGGACACAGCTGTGTTTTCCCTTTTCACAGTCTCACACACACACATAACAAAAACGCTGAGCCGCGCCCATGTTGGTGTGATATTTTACCAGTACTTGTACATATTCTACACTCTGTGGTATTTGATACCCACTCTGTTGATACTGCATGTATATTTAATGACTGCACAGAGCCATAGGAGCTTGGTAATGCAGTAAATGTACATGCGTGTGTGTGTGTGTGTGTGTGTGTCAGTGTAAGAGAGCGGTGGACGGACGAGACTTCCTGTCTCTGCTCTGATGTCAGGCTCTTTGATAAGATCTGCAGACCTCCTGGGCCCTGGTGGAACATCTCTGGACTTTGTAGTGTCCAACATCAAACAGTGACCATCACTGCAGAAGGTCCCAGTCCAACCTCCGGGCGAGACGGGCTCCAGGTCGCGTGTCTGCTGCTGCTGGTTTTACAAAGCACTTCTTCTGTGGTGACACCACCAGTGGTTTGCTGCTACACTTTTTTTCTCTTCATTTTAATACTAGAAATAGAAACGCCAACACAGGAACTAGTCCTTACTGTATACTGTATGTACTAGTACTACAACTCAAAAGCAGAAAACATTACATTTTACCAATTGCTGACCAACGTCAGTTCATCCCACTGATAGACTGTACATAAGAAATGGACTGAGCTAGTCCCAGGTCTGAGTGAAGCTCCAGACCAACACCTGAAGTATTACTGCTGATTTCAAAAGTACTTTTACTAATAGACATTATTTCTAGCTGATGGCAGTGACGGAGGAAGGTGGAAATATCTAGATTGAATAAATATGGTTGGACGTGACACATGATTGACAGCTGAATTACCCAACGACTGCGCGGCCATCTGTCGTCACCGCTGACATTTCTCGACTTTCACAGCAACAGATGTCGCCGTCAGGCTTCTGTGAAATGATGCAGCTGTCAATCACACACTGCGTCCAATCACATTCACTCTCCGCCTGGATTTCTTTCTTCTCTTTCTCCACTTTATTCTGCTTCATTGCATCATAAATTTTACAAACCATACGGTAGAGAAGGCTTATATTTGAGATATAAATATATATATGTGTAAATATAATATATATATATATATATATATATATATATACACACATGTATACATATATGTCAGTGTCTGTGTGTATATATATATATATTAATATATATTTGTACATATATCTGTGTATATATGTATATGTATATATACATATATACATATATGAAGGTGTGTGTGTGTTTCTGAGCCCTGAGGCAGGTTTTCTCCAGATTTGTCTCCAAATTGCAACACTCCAGATTGTGCCTCCCAGAGGCGAGCAAATGAAAACAGCATGATAATTACCAAGAAAAGCCTTGGGGCAGGGTTAGCTGGGCATAAAGTACCAAATTATCAGGAAAACGGGTGTGAGTCAAGAAAAAAATAAATAAATGAAATTGTATCCAGATGGATGACATTCTGTGATCGATTGGTCATGTCTTTCCTGCCTCCTCCTCGGACCAACACTATCCCTGGGTGACAGTTCTCCCAAACTCTCACCTCACTTCCTGTGTCTGTCAAAAAAGTAAAGTATATTAAAATAAAATGTGCGTCTCTCTGACACACAAACATACTGTATGCACACGAGGTTCTGGCTCGGTGTGTGTGTGTGTGTGTGTGTGTGTGTGTGTGTGAAGCAGAGGCTGGTGAGAGCAGATAACACACAGGCTGAAGGAGAGGCTTTCTCTTCTGGCAGTAGTTTTTTCACTGGGATTTAAATGTTGTCGTCAGCAAACTAGCTCCTCGAGGAGTTCAGAAACGTGTCGCCAACTCGGTGGAACCACCGCGTTAAGATGTTGAAGTACAGAAAAGTACGGCCATGGCTGAGTGAAGTGAAGATAATTCTTCCTCTGTTTCACTTCTCTGCACTGGTGGAAAAAAAAGGATTATGAAAAGTCTTCAGTTCATGGAATATTTTTGGAGAATCTAGTAAACAGTGTTAGTCAGTGTTGGTTAGTGTTAGTCAGTGTCAGTGTTGGTCAGTGTTGGTCAGT